GAGAGGACCACGCGGTTACGCACGCTCGGCCTCGGACCACGATTCGGCTCGCTTCCAGCTCTCTAGCCTTCTTCAGGGCAATGCAGTATGGCTCCAAGATTAACCTTTCGACCTCCTGTCGCGGGTCCTTCCTCAGGACAGAACAGATTCTAGCTCAAAAAACATTTCAACAATTATTCTCCTCGCCTTCCTCAGGACAGAACAGATTCTAGCTCAAAAAACATTTCAACAATTATTCTCCTCGTCTTCCTCAGGGCAGAACAGATTCTAGCTAAATGGCCACAGAATAGGGATGCGACATCTATATATGTTCATAACATCGATGTTTCCATAAAAAATCAACTATTTTTGGCTCTCCCATTCAGCAAAGCCGATGTTTTGTATTTAATGTTTACGTATTCGATGCTGTGTTTGGTGTAAAAGTTGCATTATCACAATTTCTTGAAAGTAAAATATAAAATGACAACTGATGGAACCCCTGCCTGCTCAGCGTTCGAGCGGAGCGAACGCTCTTTATCCTTCATTCATTCAGCAGAATCTCTTCCCCGAGAGACGACCTCCACGCCCTACTATTCCAATACGTCAGGAGAAGAGTCCATGCTGTCGATGGAATTGCCGTGCAAAATAAAAACAAAACTATGAGTACGTTTATTGCTTCATTGATCATGTGTTACGGGAGATGACTACACTAACGTTTTAATCCAGTATACTAACATTTACAATGGGTTAATCACAGTCGATCATGACAAATTTTCTCAGGTTGGACCTTGATTTTCGCCATAGATCAACACATTTGACTTTCTATCGAAATTGCATCTACCGCCATTCTGATGTTAGCATGAAAATCCAGTTACGAAATAAATCCACAGCTGAAAAGTAACTAATCTGATGAATTAATGACTCGGAAAAACTGCTTATCCAATGAATAGAATCGTTGGCAAAGTCCACATAAAACTGGGGATTTTATTCAACCCACGTCATCGACCTCGTGTAGATACCAGACAGCAGCGTGGCGGACAAGGCGACCCACGGAATAAGCAAAAGATTCCGATGCATATTTTATGGAGAGGGTAGTGCCGGCGCTAAGCAAGGGTGATCGCTCGGGGCCTTGCAAGTCAAGAAGCCCTATGATGGTACTGACGGGAACAACATAGTCAAAAAAATTTAAAAAAAGATTTTGATCTCGAGATAATCATTATTGCAATTTTTTAAGCCGCGGTACAGTAGTCAGATATTTCAAAAAAATGTTCAATTAATTTTTTTACCTTAAATGTAATTATATTCATTACTTATAAGTAGAGGGCAGATTTTAATGAAATTAATTTTTCCCCTTTTCACTTTAAAACAATGTCGTTTAGTATAGAAATTTATCTTATGTTACGATGAAACGAAAAAACTCATTTTGATTTTTTTTGTTTGCATTTTTCATCGATTTAGACTAATAAGTCATTTTTAACTTTTTACGTCATTTTTACTGCAGTTTCCCATGATTTCATCGATTTTAGTATAATTTGAATGGTACTCGCTTCAAACAATATTTATGAGGCTCAACAAATGTTCACCACAGAATTCCTGAGTAGCTTATTCGATTCCTACGCTCATAAATTGTCAAGTCAGCTGTTGAGAATACTAGGTAATCTGAAGTTTCTGTGACGCATATCGACGCCGTTCTCAGTTCGTCCGGCAATAAATAAAAGGCAGAGATTTTCTTTTAAAGAACAGTCCAAACCCAACGTATGGAAGCCCAGTTCACTTAAAAGGAATAAACCTCGTTTACATCAGTAACATATCCAACACCTTGAGTTGTTCATCTGAAGTCGTTTGATGAAATTTTTTACGTTATTTTTGTTTTTTTGTTTTTAGGGAATTTTTAAAGCATTTTAGGAATATTTTATTGATACTGTTTGGCAATGTTTTAGGTCATCCAAATCCGCCCCTACTTATAAGGTATGACTGAAATGAATCAAATGACGTTAACAATAAAATAGGCTGTTCTGGAATTAATATTCATTATTTTACGTATTTAACGAATGATTTTATTATCCAATAACTAAACACAACCATTGTTTTCGCGTTTTAAAATCACCGAGGAAATTGTTTTATTTGATGAGTAAATACTTTTACTTGAAACTATTATTTAAAATATATTTCCAAAACCTTTCTAGGTTAATTGTTGTAATTTTTGTTATTAGTTGAAATAAAATACGTTTACTTGAAACTATTATTTAAAATATATTTCCAAAACCTTTCTAGTTTAATCGTCGTAATTTTTGTTATTTGTTGAAATAAAACTACTAATATAGATTCTTCATACAACTTTCACATTTAAATTTTTTTTTTCGAGAGGGATGGGCTACGTTTCAGTATTGCCCGGGGCCCAAAACTGTCTAGCTCCGGCACTGGGAGAAGGCAGAGACACGCGGGACACACTTACCAGCTGCAGGCTGCCCTTGCGAAGGGCAGCTGTTCCCTTGAGGGGGTCGGAGTTTCTCGAAATCATGTCGGAAGAAACGGCTTCTTCATAGCTCTTCAGATCCTCTTTCATCGAGGTCTTCGAGTCGTCATCTCCTAAACAGAAAGAAAGACGTTTTTTTATTCGCTCTCGCGCAATATGTGCGTGAAATATATGCAATTTTTAAAATAGAAAAAAACAGATTTTTTGGAAAACGGCTCCAAGTTTTTACTTTAAACTTTTGGTAGGGATAGAGTTAAATGTACGCTATGAGATGACATAAACGCCATTTAGCTATATTCTTTGGGGTTTTCAAAAATTACATATTTGATTTTTTTGGTCTCTCACGTCGTCATTATTTACATTAGCGGCGATTTATTTACATTATTGCATTTGTAAGTACATATTATTTAAATAATGTCATATAAAGTTTCTACTTTAACTCAAAACTTTTTTGTGAAAAGGAGCTCATATTTCCGTAACTTCAGAAACCTGCAAACGCCATTTTCTCAAAAACGGCTCCAAATTTTTTCTTCAAACTTTTCCCACAGATAGTGCTAATTGCAGTGTTTCAGATGACATAAAATTAATTTTTCTGTATTCTTTTGTTTTCTCACAAAATACACAAATATTATTTTAAAATCTCTCATGTCGTTAACATGAACATTTCCGTCAATTTGTATACATTATTGCGCTTCAAATGAAGTTTAACGAAAACTCAATAGTTTTCTGTGATAAGAGCTTTTAAATTTCGCATTTACTTTAACGAATACGTAATTTTCTTAGAAACGGCTCCAAATTGTTTAATGAAAATTGCCATATAGGACGTCGTTTTAATGTTATTTAATATTCTGAAAGTTATATCTCGTTCTTCTATTCAAAAACCGAAAAATTGAGAATTTAAAAAGAAATGTTGTTTGGGCGACGATAGATGGGAGCCGGCACGAGTATCTGGCACAGCGGAATAGTTAGCCCAGGCAAAGATAATACAAAACTAATACAAGAAAGTCTGTGCCATTAGTTCATTTCACCACTACTTTATTTTACGATTTCAAGGGACAAAATAATTTTTAAATTAAAGAAATTTTATGAAGTCACAGTTTCAAGAAATATTTATGGATAGTTCATGATACACGAGTCATTTCAGATGGTAAAAAAAAAAACCAACAACAACAACCATGTTCCTTGTAATTATGGACCAGATTCGATGATTTTGCTTATTTTTGTCTGTTGCTTCGGCTTCGTGAAATTTGTTGACATTTACATTGGATGCTATATGGTAGTGCAAATATGTGCATATTTGGCCGATTTTTCCTATTGGTGCATATTCTTGTAATTATAGATGCGTATTTTGCAAATTTCATTAAAACAGAGACTTATATCTAAATGAAGAAAGATGATGAGCAGTCAAATGATCTGTATTATTTCAAAAATGTGCCTCTAACGTTCGTGGATGTGGAAGTCACTTTTCGCTATTCTTAACTCGCCGAGCTTTTACGTTTGACAATTGACGTAGTATTTGTAACGTACTGCAATAGTGCACTGGAATTGTAAAAATAAAGTGAAATTGTAAGATCAAAATACATTCACGTTATGCTGTTGCGGTTTTTTCTTTTCTATAAGTGATAAAATATTTGTGCAACTGTAGGATATTTCTTGATATCAATTTTTTTAAACTAAGCAGACAAAATACTACAATGCACATCACGAAGCTAAATATTTACTTCAATTATTTCGTCAGACAAGTAAGGTAAATTATACCATGTTTGCACAAAATTATATTTGGTTACCCCAAGCATGCTTCAGCTGATTTAATCATGAAAGGTTTATACAGAAAATGAAACATTTAATTTATTGCAGTGTCATTCGAAAGTATTTAATTTATTGTTCGTGAACAGTGTGAGTGCTCCAGTTTGGAAAGCCATTTTATATAATTTCTTTGTGGCATTTTTTTCTGTTTGCCATTACTTTTGAAGAAATATAATAAAACTATTTAATATAATATATTTATTTGATTTGACATTTGAGCCTGAAAGTGTAAATAGTAATTTTCGGAAACGTTGCTACTGCTATTCTGAATAACATATAATATATTTCAATGACACTGTATTTTAAACAATTTTGGCTTTTAAATAAATCATCAAATACAGGCTGACGAAATTGAAAAATCCATAGAAAGAAAAGAAAGTAATATTTTTAAACACAATAAAATTCAAAAAAAAAAAAAAAGGTGTTGGTTGCCGTGCATCCCCTCCTGACCCGCCGTTAAGTTGGAATCGTCGATGTTCCGAGGGCGACATCGCGTGCCAGTGGGCGGCGGCTGCCCCAACTCCCGGAACCCTCGAGCTGTGACGCCAACGGAGCGCGCCCCTAGAGCGTGACGTCGCACAGCGCGCGTGCTGCATCGCCCGCGCGGCCACAAACATCGCCCTGCAGCCCACTAGAGATGCCACATCGATAATAAAACATCGATGTTAAAGAAACATCATTCAAAAACCATCGATATATTGAAACATCGGTGTTTTTAAATCTGATTTAATAGCGTCTGGTTGTAATTTTGGCGCGGAGAAAAATTTAATTCGATATTAGTGGTCGGGTTGAAATTGAATTGGACACTAGTGATGTAATTAATGTGCGTTTTTGTGCAAGACATAGACTTTGGATGGTGAGTGTACAAATACATAATATATAATATCAAGCGCATTTTAAGTGTTACAATTGCAACATATTAGGTATGCGATGGTGTCAAAATTAACTATTGCAAACATTTGGCTAGATATTTTGAAACAATGTCACAGCAAACAGTTTTTGCGTGTATTAATAATGTTATTTTTATTCCAGCATTATAAAAGAACCTTTTCTGCTGCAAGAAATCGTGCATAATCGGGCATTTTACGGCACAAATGATGACGTATTAGATTTTATGTCACGAATGATTGCGTCATCACACATTCAGCCAATCGTAGTAAGAGAATGGGGGGGAGGTAGATGTAAGAGGAACAGTCGACCACCGTTTACTTGCACGATGTCAAATATCCGAGTCGTCACAGGGAAGTTGTTTCGCAAAATTAAGTTTGATTCTCTTATAAATGTATAATGCTGTTATACAAGAAAATATAATATGCACCTCGTTTATAATGTTGCTTTATTACATTCGTACAAATCTGAAAACTCGCTCAGAAAGACGTTCGTTTTTAAAACATGTACTCATGCAATAAAGCTCAACATTATAAACTAATTGCATAAACTACTATTATTAGAGAAGTCTTCTAGTCGTCGTTAGTATAAAGAGAAATTGTAAAAATGATTGTTTATGTATGTGTATATATATATATATATAGCTATAGTATATATATATATATATATTTATATATTACACATTCGTACAAAATTTGAAAACTCGCTTCTTGACTTTATATAAATATTATAATAAAATATCATAAATAATATTTTATGATATAGTAGTCCCACAGGTGAAGCGGTAGGCCGAGGCCGTGAAAGCGATATGGCTAGTGGGTATAATGCTTGCCCCGGTCGGGTGAGGAGGCAGTTGCGTGAGCGCTTCGTGGAGGGGCAGGGAGGCGGGGGCGGAGCCAGCTGCGGCGCCGCACGTGCGCACTGGCAGGGCAGACGGCTGCGGCGGCGCTTCCCGTGCGGCGGCGGGCAGTTGCGGTGAAGCGGGGCCTAGACAGGGGGAGGGAGCGGAAGGCGCGCCACGGCTGTGGGGTGGTTGGGGCAACAGGGACGACCCATGGACGACCGCGGAGGGAGTTGGGGGCGTTCCGGGAAATATGAACGCGGACGACGCGGAGCCGGGATTGAATTGATTGTTTTGATTGTTTAGTGATTCCGGGCGCCTTCAACGGCTCCCGCTCGATGGCGAGCTCCGCTCAAACCGTGGGCCTAGCCAGGTTTCTCCCGCCAATCAGGTATCTTCTACCAGGACAAGCTGGTCTCGTCCGAGGACCCGGTTGTCTCGGCATGAGTTTTATGTACTGGCATGAATTGAATTAAATGACTTATTTTACGTGGCAAGCCTCAGGACATTGGAGGCCTGCTCTTCCGTCTGACCACGCAAATTTCGCTACGCTCCTTTCACCAACTAGCAGAGCCAAGAGTATTTTCTTGGGCGAGAAACAGGCGATTTTTGGAATTTTAGCTCAGAGGCTAGGTTCAATTTAGGCGTGATGTTTTTACATGCAGAAAAATCTACAAACATGCGGACAGCTCCGGCTTTACTTCCCTCCGAAGGAAAGGCGTGACGAAGGAAGGATATTTTGCCGCTAAAAAGTCCACGGCTTCGATTGCATTGAACCCGCAACTTGGGGTATAAACAGTGCCGTTACGTAACCGTAAACACCGAATATGTAGTGCCATGTAAGTTTAAGTGTGGTGTAAGAGGAGATGATAGGAAGAAGGAAGAGGAAGGAAAAGTCGCCGCGCGCGTTCGTGGGCGTCGTTTGGGTTACTGCCCGGCATTCGCCTGTCGTAGGCGGGGGCGAACGCTTGCGCAGGGCGTGGCGAGGTGGCGGGGGGAGGGGAGGGTAACGGGGGGGAGCAGGCCAGAGGGAGCAGCTCGAAAAAAACGCCGCGGAAGGAAAGAGAAGCGAGGGATCGCTGTGAGTTAGCAAACACGTGGCGGGGGGAGGAGCGCCTCCAAAGCATAAAAAAGAGTTCGAGAGTGGAGGCCGGTGAAGACGTCGGGGCGAGGCTGACATCCGCCCCCGCACCGAGTGGTGTGCGCGTAGGGGTCGCGCGGCGGCAGAGTGGAGGGGGGCTGGGAGCGACGGTCGTTTCTTTTAAGGTCCCCTTCCCACGTCGCGACGGCGGTGCGCTTCTGAGCGCCGCGGCTCGTAGCAGAGCGTTGGTTTGAATGGAGATTTCCCACGTGCAGCGGGCGGGCGCTGCGGCGCCAAGCAGTGGAGATCTCTCGCTACGCGAAGCGGAGGAGGGGCCACGCGCCACCGCTAGCGGAACACAGCTTTAAATGGGAGCCTTCCCACTGTGCCACCGGTCGCTGTCGTTTACCTGCTCCGGTCCCTTTGTTCGTCGCCGCCGGAGGGTCGGCGAAACCTACCCTTGCAGAACCCACCCCCTTCCACGGCGGGCGGCGGTGCGGCCGTGGCGGCGTCGGAAGGGTTATGCTGCTTGACGGAAGGGCGCCGCCGTCGCGTCGAGGGAAGAGGCCCTTAGGGCCACTTCTCGAGACGCCACCGTCGCGCTCTTCCGATAAGCGGCAGGGCTCTTCCCACGCCGCCGCAGCCCGCCGGGGAAGCAGGGGCGGATCCAGAGACGAATTTGGGGGGGTGGGGTGGGGGGGTGGAATTCAAAATGTTTTGGTCGAATGTGTCATATTACAGATCTTGTCAAATGTCAGAGGCGAAAATTTGACCCAAGATGAGGATCGTACTTGAGTAAGAATAATACTAAATATTAGTGAATCATATTGTTGCTAGTACTCCAAATGAAATAATTAAAGGCGCAGTCTTTGTCAAAACTGTAATTTCCTGGCTTGCAAACAACTGACACTGATGATGATGGATAAAAAAATCGAAAGCTGCTATTTCAATAAACAATATTGCTGTCATAGATCACGCCTCTATTTGAATAAAATGAGTAAGTGATGTTGTCTAAAAAAATAATGTACGAGTATAACACAAGTTGTATAATAATTTCATTTCGCTCGAGGAATTGTAACATCTCGCAAAATAAAAAGCAATTTTTACCACTCGTATCATAAATAACTATTATATACGAATCAGTGGTTGATGGACAGTTCCAGCCTAACAAATACGAATCAAGGGTATGTGATATTGTGGAAATTCATCGCAAACTCTGTTGCCAGAATCTGTCACAGACATAAAGACTGTCCCTGTAACCACACGAGGGAAAAGTGATTTTATGTCGCTCGCTGGATTGCGCCACACAGCCTGGCAACCAAGTGCAAAATGAAATGCTAGTTTTTCCACTCGTATCATAAACAACTAATATGTTTTATTTAACGGCCAAAAAGTTAAAAAACGATGTGTGACATAACTACAGAGAGGAGTGTATTACGTGCACGTTTTCTGGATCTCAGGGGTCCCAACCGTACGTCGTATACAGCTGAATACATGCGGAAACGAGTGTTTTTCCCTGAAGCTTATATGCCAATATTAGCTCAGTGTAATAAAACTATTTGCGAAGGGGGAAAAAGCTACAGATTTGGGCTCATGTTCCTTATCATGAGAGACTCGACTTCCTACTGCGAGAACATGGAGGTCGTTTATTTGAATGACTGGAGTACTGGGTGAAGTGTAGGGAACTTGCAGAGTTAAGGCTGATTTATACGCTGCCAGTAAGCGTGCCAGTTGAGGTGGCCAGTAACTGGCAAGTGGAGGTTGGCAATGTGTAACCGCCTTGTAGCAAGTGACTGGCAAGACCTTCGGCGCCAGTCACTGGCAATGCCAGCTGAACAAGAATATTTGGTTCACTGGCATGCTCCCCCCGTCTCCCAAAACGTCGTGTGTATACTGCTTTATACTTTCACGATAATCAACGTAAGCTAATTATTATAATTATTTACAAAAATGACAGGGCAGCAGACGCCTTCTTGAATAACAGAAAAACAAACTGACAAGTTTGACCGGTTATATATAGAATCTGAAAATTTGTGGTATATTTTTTAGCAGAATGTAAGAAACGCGAGGCCAGGAATGCGGCACTTCTGGTAATTGCAAATAAAATGGGGATAGATAACTTTTTCAATGTAGGTTAAGTGAATGAGATAAAAAGTTTACCGAACATTTGCTTTGCACACAGTTGCTTGCGGGCCGAAAACTATCAGCAGCTCGTCACAGGGAGCATACATAAGCTAAGAGCAGCGAGAAAAATACATCATTTCGCATGCCATTAGCAGCACTGTGTAAACAGCTATCGCCAGTCGCTCATACCAGTGCTGTCTACGTGCTGGCAAACCCGTTACTGGCACTCCAGTATTGACAATGTGTAAACCAGCCTTAGGGGCAGTCCATAAATTACGTAACGCAAATTTGGAGTATTTCAATACCCATTATTCCCCTTGTAACGCACCCTAACACGCACTTGAACACCCCCTAAATAATTACGTAACTCTTGCAATAACCAGCCCTTTGCAAACGCAAGAGGTAAAAATAAATTGTGGCACAGTAAAACAATTTGTATTTCTTTTACTTGTGTTTTATATTAAAGTAATTAATGATAATTAACGTAGAAATTAGTTGGTGTTGCTGGTTGCACCCAAAAGTAAGAGTGGGGCAAGTTGTGAGTAAAGGAAGAATGCTTGGTCCAGAAACTGTTGATCAGAAGCTATGCTCACGTCTTCCCGTCGTGGATGACGCAAGAGCGAGAGGATACAGCGTATATTTAAATGGATTCTATTTTGGAATATTTTCTTCGTAATCATACAGATTAAAAAGGGTCAAAACATATTTTCATTCATTGTAACGTAAAAAAAGTTGAAAAAACATTTCAATTAACTGTAACAATTTGCAACAAGTTACTTTAGTTTATTTATGTTTAAAAAAATTAATTTGTTAATATTTTCATGTTTTAGTAAAGAACACAAAATGAATAATTTCAGCAAATGTTGAAAAATATAATAAAATAAATATCAACGTTACGTAACACTTAACTTTACCCCTTACCCCTATGTAACGCAGCGTAACGCTGCCTCGGACCCACTCCACCTTGTTAAGCGTTACGTAATTGATTCGTTCACTTCAGTTACCCGTCAAACGCCAAAATTCAAAACACGCTTTAGCGACGGATTATTGTTCCAGGAGGATAGACACATCATTTCGTGCATATTTATTTGTAAAATATTCATTTATCAAATCCTTTAATAAATTGTTAATATTTTAATGTTTTAGTAGAGGACTCAAAAATGAATAATTTCAGCAAATGTTGAAAAATATAATAAAATAAATATCAACGTTACGTAACACTTAACTATTACCCCTTACCGTTATGTAACGCAGCGTAACGCTGCCTCCGACCTCCTTCCCCTTTTTTTAGCGTTACGTAGTTGAATCTAATTACAGAAGTGAATTTCAGAAACCCGTAAAACGCCAATTTACAAAACACGCTTTAGCGACGGATTATTGTCCCAGGATGGTTAACGTGCATATTTATAGGAAAAAAAAAAAAACATTTATTTATCAACTCCTTTAATAAAAAAACTGATATCTGAAAACAATTGGTAGGGTTATTGTGTGTTTTGTGGGGGGCGAGGACTCACCCGCCGAGCTGCAGAGGCTCTCGGAGCGGCCCTTGCGCACCAGCGCGCGGTACACGTCGTCCAGCGGGTGCTCCCACTGCGACTGGCCCGTGCGGAAGTTGAAGTAGTACCACGAGTCCAGGTCCTCGGCGTAGCTGCAACACCACCACCACACATGCATTCGTTACGAGGGGACGGATGGCATTTCTTTTTCTTTTCGCTTTAGAACACACAAAGATTATATGCGTGTGTATGTAATATACATACATACATACACACACACATAGTTCTGCCCAGAAGCGAGCCCAGAACAAAGTTCTGCCCTTTTCGGCCCAGAAGCTGCAAGCTCTGAGGATGATCGCTACGCGATCGAAATGATCATAAGTTGAATTAAAATATTGATACCTGACAATATCTTTATTTATTTATCATAATAAAAAGGTATCTACTTCACCAACAATCCAATTAATGTACATACATTGTAAAACTGAAGGGTTATGGCTATCACGTGGCAATCAGCCAATTGTAGCCAAATAATAATAATAATAATAATAATAATAATAATAATAATAATAATAATAATTATACTTTTCGTTTAGTATAGAAATTCATTTTATGTTATGACAAGAGGAAACGATTCATTTCTATACATCATTTTTAAGCATTTCTCGTCGATTTCGAACAATTAGTATTTTTTATTTTACATTTTCACTTTAAACATATTTCACTTTAAACATTTTCACACATTTTCGAGGATTCTAACGATTTAAACAATATTTACGAGATGCAACAAATGTTTGCCACAGAATACATGAGTAGACTTCTTGATTTTGTCTCTCATAAATTGTAATGTCGGCCGTTGTGAGTATGTAAGGTTCATGTGACACCTATCAGCACCATTGTTTGGCCAATTTCAGGAGAACTAAAGACAGAGACTTCTTAGTAAAGAATAGACCAAACCAAAGATTTTCAAGCTGAGTTCACATGAACAAAAGGAACAAGCCTTGATTACATCAGACAGCTTGGGTTGTTCATCTGAAATGGTTTTGAAAATTTAAAAAAAATGTATTTTGTTTTTCTTTTTAGGATATTTAAAAAAACATTTTCACATCAATTTATTGATCATTTTTGGCTGTGTTTTAGGTCATCAAAATCCGTCCTCTATTCATTACTAGAGATTCCGGGTGCTAAGGTCATTAGTATGTGAGTCAGTCAACGGCATGAGTGGAATTTGCACTCTTCTCCTGGTTTCATCGCGGACGTACAGGGGAGTGACTTTATTTACTCGCTACGTAGAAGGGAGAAAGTTATACAATGTTGCGCGGAAAAACGACGAACTTTCCCTAGAAAACACTTATTACAGGGCCATAGTGACGATAACGAGTGAATAAATCCACATGCCAATTTACAAAATATCCCATGTGTACGTGGTGTAGCCAGAATCCAGGTTTTGTGGGTCTTTGATACCGAAAAATCAATTGACTGAAAACGTCCGTCTGTCTGTCTGTCTGTCTGATCATTTATGAACTACTCTAGCGACTAAATCTTTCAATATTTCAATATTTCGTGTTACGAAGAATTCATTGTTTCGTGTTACGATTGACACAAATGGCTAACAGGTATTGAAGTGAAAGCAAAGCTTTACATTTGGTCATGTCTTTTATTGTCTCTTAAAGAGAGCCAATGCCGGCGCTAGGTATGGGCAGTCAGGGCCCCGCCCCGGAAGTCAAGGGGCCTAATCACAGGACTGAAGGGAAAAAAATCAGTAAAAAATTGAAAAATAAATTAGAACTCGAGAAAACCGTTATAGTAATTTTATAAGTCGTTGTACAGTACCCCGATTTTTTATAAAAGTTTTAATTAATTTTTACCTTTTTCAATATTTAATTATAGTCATTACTTATAAGGAAGAACTCTATGAAATGAAAATGTCAGACAATTCAGAAAATTTAACAATAGTTTTATAAAATACCCTTCCTGGAAACTATCATTTAAAGATTTTTACACAACCTTTTTGTAACTTAAACATTGTAATTTTTGTTATAAAATAGCTCTGAGTTTCTTGATAAAGCTTTCACATTTTTAATTTATTGGGGGAGGGCTATGTTTTTGCACTGCTCTGGACCCAAAATTGTGTAGCTCAGGCCCCGAGAAGAGTATACGAAATAGAGGTCGATATTTTGAAGAAACATCAAAAGTTGTACAAAAACATAAAACGTCAAAAGAACACACGTAAATCAATGAATCTTAAACGCCAGAAAAAAACTGAATCCAATATCTGAATTATTGTCAGAGCAACACTGCTTTAGAATCTGAATATTTTTTATCACGTCTGCGCGTGCATCATGAAAATAATGCTTTGGAATGTAATGATATCAGTGAGACAATTATTAAGAATACGTTAAATAAAATTATTCAAAAATGGACTGAGGTGGGGCATGGACCCCCACAATTACCCCATTGATTCTTCACTTCTAAATAAGACATGTGCTGTGTGAATAATAATTTGTTCATAGTTTTTTTGGTTTTAATATAGTCCGCCCCCCTCCCCAACGGCCTGAGAGTCTGTGAACTGGCCCACGGTTTAAAAAGTTTGAGGATCCCTGGTCTACACAGATTACATTGCCTACGTAGTCTATACGTAAAAAAGTCACGTAGATTACATGTAGATTAGTGCAGAAAACATACGTAGACGTACAATTACAGCCTACCGTGCAGTGGCCGACTGCGCAACTTCAAAAGAACCGCCAGAATCGGGTACCGGCGCCGCTCAACAGAGGGCGACGACAGCAGCCGCCGCGGCGCCGTCACGCGCGACCGAACACCGAGAGAGGAGGCACCACCCCTATCCGGGGGCTGGCCAGCGGACCCGCTGCCCCGTCGGGCTTATAGCCCGACTTAGCGGGCTTATAGTCAGACGGGGCAGCGGGTCCGCTGGCCAGCCCCCGGATAGGGGTGGCGCCTCCTTTTTCGGTGCCTGGTCGCGCGTGACGAGCAGTGACGAGTAGTGACGAGTAGCAGTGACGAGTACAGCAGTGGATAGTGAACAGCGGTAACGAAATAGCGCAGTGAACGGACTCTCGCATACTCGGACGGACACCTCGGTGCCCCGGCCACGGAATTTGGACTTCACCCCGGACAACAGCCACAACTTACCGGTACATCTACAGGAAATTGTTAGACCTGCCTCGTATATGGATACTCTGCACGGGTGTGAGGCCAAAATAAATCTATTTTAAGAAAGTACGTTTTTTTGACATAACATAATCATAAATTATCTATCACAATAACGGACTGGAATAAGTTACCTGTGACAGCCATGGATCCCTTTCCTCTAGGTGTACAAAGTTTTAAAAGTAGATTAACTATTTGTATAAGATAGGCTTATTAAAATAGTTATTATTTTAGTTATAATTGTATTATAATTGTTATTTTTTATTATTATTAGTATTGTGATAATCACTATTAAATGCATTGGTTTGTTA